TAGTTCAACTATCTCGAAATGTAACTATTTCACAAATTAAACCGGTGCACTGAGAGAAAGAAGTTTATAATTAAAAAAGCGTGATAAATTAAAAAAATACGCATATGAAAGAGCACGAACCCAATTCGTAATACATTTAAGTATACAAATTTTAGTATTTAGTATAGAAATTTCAATTCAAATAGGCCCATATTAAAATGAAGCGATTTGCAATTACCGATTGCTTTTTCATAATTAAGTTAAAAAAATATTTAAATTCCATGCTGGTTGTAATGGGAATTGAAGCCTGACCCTCTGGAAATTAGCAAATTTTTGGCAAGCATCCTCGCGCACTCAGCTACAGCCAGACATGTAAATGTACATTTAAATGTTGAGTTTGAATCAACACCACGCGTGCGTGTTATGAAAGTATTATTTTTAAATACGAACATTTTTAAACGATAATCAAATAGAAAATTTTCGTGTTTACTATGCGTTATTTCTCTCAATGAATTCATAACATTTTTCTGAATATTACAACGCGTTTTTTCTCTTAGTGTAGTGATTTTTGATCTTTTACTCAAATTTGTGCAATCAAATCAAAAACCGGGACACTAAAAGTAAACCCGGGACATTTTAAGGTTGGACCGGGACACCGCGACAAATAGTCTAAAACCGGGAACTGTCCGGGAAAACCGGGACGTCTGGCAGCCCTAAACAAAGTGAACGCAAAATCATTCAAACGTAATTGGCACACTAACACAATCACGCTTTCAGCTCGCGTTTACTTGTGGTAGTGATCACATCTGCTCATATACACTCCTCGTCATTTGAATTGCACACCCTTTCAATTCTTAGTATTTACAGTTTTCCTTTTGTTTATCTAATATACATTTTTTGTAAAAATATAGCATATTCTACGGGAAAATGCAATTTAAAAATTTTTTACAAACTAAAACTTAAAAGAAAATTTCTTTTCTATTTCTTGGGCAGCATTTTATATGATTTTTTCGTTTTTCTTGAGAGCTGGAAACAGTTCTTAACAAAGGTCAACATAGGGGTGTGCCATCCTAATGACCTGCAGTGAATAAGTTACTAATATTTTTAGAAAAATTTTGGATATGCAGTTTTGCAGCCCATTCAATTATAGTGTAATGAAGTGCAAGTTTGAAGTGACTCTAAAACAGCCCCGATTTTTTCAAATTTATTTATTTTTTATTGACAGTGCTGCGCATTTTATTCCATATAAAAATTTTGTCGAGCATACTTTGTATGAGAGAAAATGCGCAGCACCATCAGCAAAAAAATTGTCAAAAATCACCGATATTTTACAGACACTTGAAACTTCCACTTTATTGTACCCCTTTGTTGATTTTTTTTAACTCTGTATAAAGTTTTAAAATCGGATGTAATGAATATTAAATAAACAAAATTAAAAATGTAAATACTAAAGATTAAAAAGTTGAGCTATTCAAATGACGAGGAGTGTCTGTGGCGTACGTTTGGGAGAGTGGGCCTTTTTACTCCAGAATGCGTGTGCAGCGGCTCT